TGCATGCTGTGTAGCATGTGTGTGTTTGTACAGGGGAAGTCTCTCTCATTCTTTTTGTACCGCTGTTTTCATTTTTGGGATTTTGAATCTCATAGCTGGGATTAAACTCAGTGTTCCTCTCTGGGATACTGTCATAGCATCCATCTGTGTTTTTGTTTTCCCCCAAACATATCCATCGCATTGTTTTCTTTAGTGCACGCAACTCTGTGTTAGTACATCCATGCAAGTGCGTTTTGTGAGTTGCCACTCATTCTTTAGTTTGGATCATGGGTTAGATCAATCATCTGCCATTTACTGAACTAAAAAGCTGGTGTTGGCTGATGCCGCATGAACAGGTTTGTAAAACAGTGCTTCAATATTTTAAATATTTGATTTATAAACAGTTTTTCTATACATGGAACTATTGATGTAACTCAGCTTTATATCTCAATTCAAAATGACAGTTTTAATGTACACTAAAAGGTTTTCTTCACTCTTTCTCCCGCTCAGCTCCTAAAAAGGGTCCCAACGGGCTGGCTCTGCCCAACGACTACTGTGACTTCTGTCTGGGAGACTCCACTATGAACCAGAAGACCGGCCAATCAGAGGGGCTGGTGTCCTGCTCAGACTGTGGACGCTCAGGTACTCTCGTCCTGTTCATTTCACCACTAAGCACCTCTTAGTTACTGTTGCCATGCCTTTTCTCTCATGGCATGGTTTTTTGTATCTTCCTTGACAATGTTTCTCCCCCCCCCCCTGCAGGCCACCCAACATGCCTGCAGTTCACCCCCGTGATGATGGCTGCAGTGAAGACCTACCGCTGGCAGTGCATCGAGTGCAAGTGCTGCAACGTCTGCGGCACCTCGGAGAACGACGTGAGACCCATTATCTGTTGTTGCTGACTATATACTGATTAAGTATACACTAACTTTTTTTGTAATTTCTCTTCTTGGAAAATTGGAATCCCAATGTATATTCATAATAAAATGTTGACAATTAAATAACCTAGATGTTCTCAAAAACTGAATGAATGAATCATTATAAGGGTTCAAAGAGTGAACCAAGAAGGCTGGTTCTCACCTATCAAAACAAAAGCCCTAGACATGTTTCTGAACAACTGTGACATCTGAAGATGGAGAGATGTGAAACTTTTTCCTCTTGTCCAATCAGTGGACTCAACATGATGTTGTGTGTTTTCAGGACCAGCTGCTGTTCTGTGATGACTGTGACCGAGGTTACCACATGTACTGTCTAAGCCCTCCCATGACTGAACCACCAGAGGGTAAGCTCACACTGCACACTGCTAAAGTTAACAAGATCAACCTTCAAAAGCTGCGAACATCTTTTGTTTGGTATGGCTACTCATTCTTAATTTGTTGCCATTTAGCCTTTCTAAACAACATTTTCACTACAGTCAAAAAATGTTTCGCTCCTCTTTAGAGAGCTCTTTTTGAGTAATATTTTGCAGTTATAAAAATAAAATACATTTTATACATCACTAGTATTTTATACCCCTATGATTTCCTGAGCCTGGCCTCATTTGTGTGTGTGTGTGTGTGTGTGTGCGTACACAGGGAGCTGGAGCTGCCACCTGTGCCTGGTCCTGCTGAAGGACAAAGCCTCCATATACCAGCAGAACCAGGGCTCCGGCCCCGAGTGACATCATATCAACAAGCCCCGCCCCTGATGGAAACGTCAGACCTCTTCTCAGTCCGGAGCTCCGGGAAATGTCCAGATGTAGCTGAGCAGATCGCAGATCAGCTTTAGAAGTCTTAATATCTTCAGTGGGGGGTCAAACTATAACTACCAGTCTGCCTGCAGAGCCCGTGGCTCCCGTCAAACACATATTGTGCGTATAAATACAATATAGACACACACACTCTCCTGGACTGTTACACACACTAGATACAGAGACAGAAGGCATGCAGTAACCATAGTAACTGCTGTCTCCATGGAAGCTCCCAGGAGCAAACGGATTAGCATCACAGCTAATTATCTGCACCCTCTCACGCTCAAAGACACAGAGGTGACTGTCGAGACAACACGTTTCTTTTTCTGCCAAATTATCTATTTTGTACTCCCTTAATGTGGGAGAAAGAATAAAAACACCACATATACAGATGAGGAACATAATTATTATTACTATTGTTATTGTTCTGGTTACTAGTTGACTTTTTTAGTGGCATTTGTCTGTGTACTTTTGTCTGATCCATCAATCTTTTTAAGAGGTTTCCCTGAGGGGAGCCGGTCAGTGCCAAGGTCCACCCTCACATGAAACACGCGACAAAGACACACGGAGCTTATCATAATCACTTTAACCATCTTTGTTTCATTTTGAATCGGTGGGACAAAGATGGTAACAAAAAGTCTTAATTTCTTTGCCAACGAAACCATTGGCTTTGACTCGTTAAGCTGTTGGCACAACTCTTTGGCCTTGCAATTTTAGGGTTGCACCAAAATCACCCTCTCATCTCTGATGCTGTTACTGGATTGATCAGTTACTTCAACCAAACACTATACGACATACTGTAAGTTGAATATTTCGTAAAATACCGGTCTTCAATTTAGTTTCGAGCTAACATTCTCTTATTTTGAAAAACCTGACCGTCAGCTGATGCTGTTTTTATGGGGGGAAACTGACCAATACATGAGATTTGTAATCATCAGGTGCATCCTTTTCTATCACTTGTTTCGTGCTTTAAAAAACAGTTTGGCAGTGACATCACATGTCATTTTTAAACAGCTGCTGTCAAACCCATGACACACATAATCATTTACAAACTGTAGCTGCTTTTATCGTTTGTCACACAGGCAGATTTGCATGCATATTGCACCTGTATGAATGCACACACTCACACCACAAGTGTTTTCTTTTTCGTTGTAGGTTTTTTTTTTTTACATTTTATATTACCTGATATTCCATTGGTACTGGGAGTTTTTCTAGTAGAATTTTGTAAAGTCTATGGTATAGCAAACACTTCAAGTATATAGCTCCTATTGCATTCTATGTACTGTATTGACTTTTTCTATTTTTGTTATGACTGTGACATGTTTGAATTTATTTGATTATTCTGATATGTCAGACCTCCATTTTGAGTATTTGTAAAATGATGTACTTTGTTGTACTATTTTTATTTTTTCATTTCTTTGGTATCAAAGCCGATTTAGCCTGACTGAAATAAAAATCACTTTGAATAACGTGTCCATTGCAATTGATTTAACCACATCATTTTCACAGTTGTCCTTGCAGGTGTTTAAATATAGGGCCAGTTTCTGAAGGGGGCGCTCTGTTTGTGTCTCTACCAAGATCACTGAAGAAAGTGTCAAATGCGCACACTAAGTGACTAAATGTAACCCAAAATAAGTGTTTGGAGAAACATCTTCACTGTTGGTACAAAACAAAGTCCAAGAGTGCTTTTATACCAAGAGAAAATACTCTTGAAGAGATTGAGGTTATATTAGAAACTGTAATGTTTACAATCAGTGTGTTATATGTAATGACCGTCCATTATGTGTCCATGAGTTGGACCCTCGGACAGCTCGCTCCGTGGAGCCTGTTCAGAGCTGTCCCTGGTGCTGAAGAGCTGCAGCTCCATGTGACCCTGAACTACAGTCACTTGGTTTGTTCAAGGTCACATGTCATGCTTTTCCGGTTATTACCCGTCCCCTTGTGTGTTATGAAGGTTTTTATGCATGTAAACGGTCTGCAGAGTCAAAACCCCTCAAAGTACACTCTGTAGCGAGCAAAACTCTTACACAGAAAATACCTCCCCAAAACGCCTCGTTGGTGAAACGTCATCATCCATTTGATTCTTCCGGGTACGAGATTACGTAAGCACGTACCCGGAACTAAATGAACCAATCCGTGGAGCCGTTACGTTACGTCCGCGGAGCCGTTACGTTAAACCCCCGCTGATTGGTCCAAATTGACCAATCCACGGACTTCCTCACACACACTCAGTGCATGCAGCTCTGCTGATTTCTCCTCCCTGGCTGCAGGCTGATAACAGACAGTTGGGATCGCGGCAAAATTCTCTCTGCAGACCCATTCTCCCAGCGTTTATCAACCTTTTTCTTACTCAATATCAAGCCACACTTTTTGTGTGTGCTCAGGATGAGTTTGGCTGTGTTTCGCTGTCGCTAAACAAGGAAACAACACCTCCACGGAGCTCAGCGCGATTCAAAACGTCCCGACCAATCAGAGCACACTGTGCTCACAGGGAGGGTGGGGGCTGGAGCTATTGGCGCTACAACGAGCCGTTAAAGGCAGAGAGTGAAATTCAGTGAATACACGTAGTTTACAGAGATGCTGTATGAGAAACCAATGTGAGTTTGGAAAATTGCACAATAAACTATTCTAGTAGACCTCAACAATGGAATTATGATCAGTGGAAATGGCCATGACATGTGTCCTTTAACATGGTACACCATTACCTGCAGAACCTATCCATACAGCATGCTTTCAGTTCCCATTAATACTACTGGAACGTAAGTAATAGGCACAATATGTAACAAAGGAAGCTGCTTGAGACCGAGCTCTATCTGTCCACGATATCTAAAGTGAGTATGATTGAGTCAATGCTATAGAATTAAGGACTTGTTAAATAAAAATGGCACAGTTTTTCATTTAACATTTTAACTATAGGTCAGAGTTTGAATGCATCCTTCTCCACTGGTATCACTCAATCACACCTTGCTGGGAAAATGTTGAATGAAGGAAGGAGAAGCCTCACAGAACAACAACATGTTTTATTTCACTCAACAGCACACACACTCAAAGACTTTCTCCAGACACAGACATTCAAAAACACCTTGTAGCATAAAGTCGCTTTTGTTCCAGCATAAAAACACAAATTATATGCTGAGAAGCTTTGAGGACAAAGAGAGAGGGGGGGGGCAAAGACAACAGTGGCTTAGTGCAATTATCTGGAGCGTGATGATCAGCCATATGCTACGCTGAGTACAAATACGGCCACAAAGGCGTGATGAAAACATAGAATAAGTTCATGCACTGAGAAGCCACTATATAAGCTTACATGTGTCATCATATGAGGTTACTTGTGGCAGTCGTTGAGTATTAATAAGTAAACTAGCACACTTTGGGGTTTCTCACACTATTCTTGGTGTCAGAATAAATGCAATACATTAGTTTTGAGTAGTGCATAATGCATTTGGGTCTGGGCCGCAGGTGCTCGGTACAAAACTGTAAAATACTCAGTTATCAAAGGTAAACATGTCGCCTTCAGGAAGCCGGTGTCATAGTAACGCTGCTTAAACATGTACAGCCACCGCAAAGTGAAAAAAAAATTCGCCCAACTCTACATTGATGAAGAATGGCAGCAAGTGAAGCTGGAAAACAAGTTGGACCAATTGTGTGTGCGTCCTTTGTGTGGCTGTGCGGGGGGGTGTAAGAGGAGTTCCTCTACAGCCTCTCGAAGCCCACGGAGCAGAGGAGGAAGAGGACGTACAGCAGAATGAGACAGAAGCCCAGCCGGCGGTCCAACTTCCAGCCGTTCAGATGGACACACAGGACCTGAGGAGGGACGACCGGAGAGACAGACAGGTTCATGTCACTGCACTGCACTAAATATATATTATAATCACAATTTAATTCCCAGAACATAACAAAAACTAAGACAAGAGCGCTCGGGCAGGAAAGATTACAAAATCAAAATCATAATGTTATGTTTATGGCAAACATGTTAGAAAATTCATCCTAAGCTCCTATAATAAGTCTATAATAAACAGTGCAGGCAAACCCTTAAGGACATGAATGTCCCGATTCTGTGTCTACAGTATATTTCTATATATTGTTGTAGCAAAGTGAGACTGTATATTGTAGAGTACTCAATGTATTCAATATTTCGTTATATTGTGTATTATTTAGATACTCTTGGGATATATGTATTTTCTATTGTGAATTTGTATATACTTCTTGCTACTTGTAATTTTTAATTTACATTTTTATTTTTGCTATTTATACTTGCAGCTAATATTAATTGGGAAATTTGTATTTGTTTTTTATTGTATCTTTTAAACATGTTTTACTCCTGTAATGCTTGATACTGCTGCTGGAACTAAACTATACTAAACTAAATAAAGTATCTATCTATTTATTAACAACATGAAACCACAATTGAAAGTAATTTTTTAACTGACTAAAATTGCATCAAATCCAGTGTTATTTCTCGTTATGCTGATTAAGATAAGATAAGATCTTTAATTTGTCATTGTACAAGTACAACGAAATTATAATAATAGGTTAATTATTGCAGATTATGAAAAAATGTTTTAGTTTACAGATAAAAATTCTGAATAATAAATTAATATTTGGCTGTAATGCTCAGGACTGAAGTTGTATGAAGGATTTGAAAGTGGAAAATAAAACTATAAAACATCATGTAATGGCTTTTTATTTTACGTGGGCAGTTTTGTCCACTAACGACATCAGAGCAACCTTTTCAACACGAGGCACGACGAGGGTCAAATGAATGAATTTGAAGGTAACTCACAGTGAGCACGACTGAGGCCAGCAGCAGGATCACTGAGTACACCAGGCCTCTGCTGTTGATCGTCACCTAAAAAACAGAGATGACAAATTATTACCTTGTTTGTAAATCTCAGCAAGATAAATCCCTATATATCGGTCCATCAAGAAGGTCGAGATGTTTCTAAGATAATGGTCCAGTCAGCTGTATGAGATATGAGGTAGAGAGACTGCTGGAGTTACCACTGATCCGTAGCTGACGATGAGAGTCCTCAGCGCCCAGGGGAAGCCCAGGCCCAGCAGCACATCGAAGATGTTACTGCCAATCGAGTTGGACACGGCCATGTCGCCCATCCCTGCAATTTTTGAGATACACACAATGTAAAATGATATTAAAATATCTAGTGCTAAGCACGGTTGTTATAGTAAACCAAAACAAAAATAAGCTGTAAAAGATATATTGTTGTAAACTGTAATAAAAACAATACCACTGCCAAAAAAGGAGCAGCATTCATGTTTGGACTCTTTTTGTGTCATTGATCAGAAATTGTACAGGCTTTAAATTCCAGGAGATGGCGCTGAACTGCAAGTTCTTCACTATTAATCCCTTGTGTTTTTACAAATAGGTAAGAAGGACATTATTTAAATATTGTCTTACATAAACTGTTCACATCTCAATATAAAACATAATAACTTAAGAAGTAATGATGCAGTGAGATATAGGGTCTTGTCACACGGCACAAGCTTTTAAGCTACTGTTGCATTTGTAAAAGATGGATCATTTTGTTTCAATAAATATATCTTACTTGATTTTAGAAAACACATTCACATTGGAAAATCACCAACTAACCTCCGAAAACAGAATTATTTCTGGCATCTTTTGTAACACAACATTTCCTTATTATGGTAAAATGTAGTTTATACGTTTTTCCAGTATATTACAAGATATAATTTATCTAAATATATCTTCTTATTTCAAGAAATCTTACAGAGCTAAAAACATCTTGTTTTCATTTTACTTGTTTTTGGAGCAGCCTTTTTCCCAGCGCTCAGGGTGGAGGCATTAAAATGACATGACATCCAGTCCGGTGCTTCAGTTTTCAGTCTAAAATGAACATGCAAAACCATTCAACACACACACACACACACACACACACACACACACACACACACACACACACACACACACACACACACACCTTGTCGGGCGACGATGAGGCTGGCCAGGCAGTCAGGGACGCTGGTGCCGGCGGCCAGGAAAGTGATGCCCATGAGGACTTCTGGGATTCCAAGTGTGTTGCTGATTATGGTCATCTACACAAAGACACAAGGGAATGAGGCAGTGCAAGTGTGTGTGAGTGTGTGCATGTGCATGTGTGCGTGTGTGTGTGTGTGTGTGTGTGTGTGTGTGTGTGTGTGTGTGTGTGTGTGTGTGTGTGTGTGTGTGTGTGTGTGTGTGTGTGTGTGTGTGTGTGTGGTTGCATTCGTTACCATCCAGACCATGAGGTAGGAGTAGAGCGCGATCCAGAGCGTGGAGGACAGGAAGCTGAGCAGGTACCAGCGCTCCCAGCGCGGCAGGCTGCAGTCGGGGATGGTGAAGTAGAGCAGGACGCTGAGGGGCCAGGAGAGGAGCCACCTCAGCCGCAGACACACACCCTCTGAGGAGATGATGGAAACACACACACACAAGTTTCCCACAGGGATC